GCCAAGCCTGGCATGCCTCCACATGGCACCCCTTCCCTTCCAGTTGTGGTGAGGTGATGTTTCCTGCACTTTTGCTGGGAGGAGACTTGATGGGGATGGTGCACGGACGGAACTACAAGATTGCATATTGAGCTAGCAGATTGAGCTTGTTGGATGAGTGCAGGTTAGGGGCATGATCCTTGTGAGGGAAGTGCCATGGTTGATGTGCATGTGGCATTTCTTGTTTCTGGTTGTGTGTGATTGTTCCAGCTCTTACTAATCAAATTGCTGGGTAGCGGGAGACATGGGTCCTGTTTTTAATTCCCTGTCTCTTCTGGAATACTGGGAGGTTGTCTGAATGTCAGAGGTGCTAATGATTTGGCTGTGATGGGAGCAAATTTTAACTGGGCTTGCTTTTCAGCATGAATGTACTGATGTAGGCATGTCATGTAGCCTGTCTGTCTACCAAGTTGCTAGCTTTCAGCTGCTTTTTGTGTGGGCATTTTAGTGATTGTTTGCAACCTGGGAAAGCCCAGCCAGGTCACTGCAGGGCAAGGCAGAGCTGTATTTCCATACCCACCTAATGCTGACGCCGCTTTCTTGCCCCACAAGGATCAGAAGAAATCCATGGGAATCGCTGTCTTCTGGCTCCTGCTTCTGTTTAGGGTGGCTGGGCAAAGGCAGGGTCTGCTTACTCATCTGGCTTCAATGCAGCCACACAATTGTCTCTTTTGAGGAAGGGAATTCATTAGTTTGTGTGAAGTGGCCTTGGATCTTTGGGCAGCAGGTGCTTCTATAGAGCAAACTGTTGCTGAATATTCAACAGTTGCTGTACAAGTGTCTGGCTGCCTGCCTGTGAAGCACTTGGAGTTATCTTGAGCATCCGATTAGATAAAGTGCAAAGTACTTACTGCTTTAAAGCTACCTGCAGCTATGTTGTGGTGGTGCTGTTTTATCATTCATTGGTTTTGTTGTTTTGGGTTTGTTTTTCTATGTGAATCTTCCAAGATCATAAGCAGCAACTTCATCTCTTTTAAGTCAGCCAACAAAGATGGGAACTGCCTACCAGAATGAGAACAGTGATTCATATTCATGTCGTCAGAACTCTATTCTCTTAGAGGTTTCAAATGATAGCGTGTATATTGGAAACAAATGACTCAGGATAGAACTGTCTCCTAATCTTTAACATACTATTTAAAATCAAGTTGGCTCTTTAAAGGCTACCTGAATAACATTTGTTCTTGCCAACCTCAAATTTGGTACATGAAGTATTGTAAGATACCTGAACTGTGAAGGAATAATTTGAGACGTTAGGCTGTGCAATCAGCCTTTCATTTTTCTTTATTTTTTAAGAGTTTAATTTCCTTAGGTGTGGTCTGTAAGCACCCTGTGCTGGATGGCACCATTGAAAGTATGGTCCTGTAAGAAACTGTGGTTGCTGAGCTTTAAATATCTTACTGCTTTAGTCAGTAAGGTGTGGATGCCTGTATAGTGTTTACTAATGACATGCCCCAATTCTGACTTCTTGTGGTAGCTTCCTTAAGTTGTTTGTGCTTTGTCTGTTTTCTTTTAACTGGTAATTCAAGCTACAGAAGGAAAACTTGAAGTATGTAACTGTGACAGTTGCACTGAAGGCTGAAGAGATGCTATCCAAGTTGCATGCTTTACAGGATTTCTGTGCTGCCCATCAGAGATGTTCTTGTCCTTGGAAACACTGCATTATTAGGGGTGTAGTGATTCCCCACCCCTAAGCTCTTAAAACTTAATAGCTAAGCATGCAGTTCCTACCCACAGAAAACAGTCATGCAGGCTTCAGCACAGGTTGGTCATTGGGCCTGGTTTCTGTCTTGCCTAGACTGATCATTAGCACTCGTTGCAGGGAGACCTGGAGCACTTAAAAGCATCAATAAGCAGCTGATGCAGCTGAGATGTGCTACCTAAAGGTCCACTTTGTTTGCACAGATCTGTGAGGAGGTGCCAGATATGTTTAGAAGATCAGGGCTGGCAGCCTGGGATTGAGTGTGCTTTTCCTGCTGTGAGGAAACAGCAGAGAGCAGCTGAGGGAGAGGGAGCTCTTCAAAGGAGCTTGGCAGACCAATGTTCTTGATTCTCCTGTCCCTGTCAGCCCTGAGCTCCCCACAGCTTGAGGCTGGGATCAGCAGAAGGGAGGACCAGCTTGCAGGAAGGGTTCCAAGTCTTGCAGTGAAACATTTCAGAAGCTGTAAAGCAGGTGTTTAGACTTATGGTGGGTCATTGCCTCCAAAAGCTCATTTCTTTTTCTTACAATGGGGCTTAGAAGTTAAAGTTTAGGAGCAGAGCAATTACACTTTGAAAATGAATACATGGTACTGCTCAGCATGGTAAGGTGCAGTCTGTGCTGTAGCTGTAAATCAGTGCTCTAATACAAGTAACTGTGTGATGGTTACGTTGCCAGAAAGTGACAGGAAAGAAGAGTGAGCCTTCAGCCTTTAGAGATGACACTGCACATTTAATTGCTAATGGACTTTTTTTTAAAGAGCATTTAGGCTGCTATTATTAGAAAAAGCAAATGTGTGGTGGTATCTACAGGGGAAAAAAAAAAGGAGTTTTTCATGAGCATCTTGACCTTTACTTTCTTGTGTTAATTTTTTTTTTATACCAGTGAGATTTTCCTGCTATCAAAACTTGCTGAAGCAGAGACTTCTCCAGACTTCCAAAAAAGATATTCTGGGTAGGGCTGGGCAGGAGGTGTTTCTTCCTTTACTCTCTGAATCTCGTATTTCAGGGATCCACTGTGTGTTCCATGCCTCTTGTTTCCTCCTGGATCAGACTTTTACCAGCTGGTGCAATTCCATAACATCAGTCAGAGCTTTATTGCATTAAACTTTTTAAGAGGAGCAAGGGCTCTGCGCCTGTGGGGCTAATCATGCAGGAGCAAACTTTGGGAAAATGTTAGCTGAATAAACCTCCATACTTCTGAAATGTCTCAATTGCTCTTAGCAATCTTTACTTTTTCAGCACCTACTAATAAAGGTCTTACTGCTTGTGCTGCGTATTTGTAGATCCTAGTCTACTTTACAAAGAGCAGCAATGTCTTTATCCCTGCTTGTTTGTGAGCATGCAGGTCGGAAGGCGCACTGAAGAGCGTGGGGCTTTAGCGGGGTCAGGGCAGACTCCAGGGCTGGTGTCCCCAGCTCCCTGTGGATGAGAGGTTGTGGTCATGCTGAAGATGCTGTGGCTATAAATGTGATTGCATGAGGAAGGTGGCTTCAACAAATACTACACAGCATAGACCAAGAATGAATCCTTTTGGACATGTCTTGGAGCAGTACCTAGGGAAAGTTTCAGGCTTAATAAGGCTGGCATGGAAAAGTGGGAGAAGACACATACACATGTGCTTATTGTATAATGCTGAAGTGTTACTGATGTTACTTGTGTGTCTGGAAGACCTGTTGAAGTCTCAGCTAGAGAAGCATCCAGATACCTTCTCTGAGTATGTACCTAGAGGTTCAAACACTGCAGGTAAAGCTGTCTTTTTGCCTGCTTAGGTGTGCATTAGTTAGCTACATTTGAGCAGATGGGGTCGTTTTGAATTTCTTGAAGCTCTATATGCTGGGAGTTCTCATGGAAACTGGTATTTCAGGAAGAAACGGAAAGCAAGACCTGCATTTCTAGTAGCAATTTTTGCAGATCTTCAGAAGCTGCAGCTTCTGACTGACTCCTCTCATGTTGAGGTGAAAAAGGCACCAAGAAAAGTCGGTGTCGTTGCACAGAACATCACTGGTTCTGCAAAAGGGGATTTAAGCCTCTGGCTCTAGTGTGGGAGTGTCCAGAGGCTATGGGGGGTATCCTTGAAGCTGTGCTGCTCCAAGCAGTGCCATGTAGCAGCATCCCTGTGAACATGCTTGCCGGAAGGGCAGCTGGTGCTGGTGCCAGGCTGCCAGTGCCTTGGGATTCCTGGGGAAGGAGCGGAGCAGGATGACGATTGCACCTAAATACGAGGTGTATCTGTGAATGAAACACTTCCATTACTTGTGCCAGTAAGTTAAGCTTTAAATGCATGATTGTCTTTACTTGCTGGCAATGGTTCAGTGGTAAAGCTGCCTGTGGAGCTTGCAGGTGAGCTTTGGAGTGGAGCTCCGGGTCAGAGCATTTGCAGGACTCACACTGGAGTCATGAGTTGTGCCATGCTGAATGGGAATTGTCTAAGCAGTATTGTGTTGCTCCCTATCAAAGAACAGGGTAAATCTTAGGCTTTATTTATTTAATTAAGAATTTCTATTTGTCCCTGAGGGACAAGCACAAAGAAAACAGCATATCTTGGCTATTGTGAGTGTTCATGGGGCAAGAAGGGAAGGGAGGGGATGAACAGCAAGAGCAAAGTGTTGTAGTAATGAGAATTACTCCCTTATTTTAGTTGCTGCTTAATCAAGACAAGGTTCCAGGAGGCAGGAACAGATGGCTTTGGTTTGTTGTTTTTGGGTTGTTTTTGTCGTCGTCGTCCCCCCCCCCGGTCTGTTATATCTTTGATTGTCACCAAAACTTACCATAAATGTTTTAACACCTGCTAATTCTTTTTAATGTTATGTATTTTAACTATCCTTAAAGACAGAGTAAACTGTTAGACTTGTCTGGCATGCTTTTCTTTAATAATATTAATCACAGGCCAAACTCTGTGACTTCATGTATTATTCAAAGGATGCCTCTTTTTATAATAAAAACTTTGAGAATATTTATTACTCCCAGTACATTTTGATAGTAAATTAGGGCAAAACTGACTGTGTTTTATACCTGGGTGTTGTGTCCCCCTCATGTGTAGAAAAGTTAAGAGACTGTATTTGAGCCTTTTGGAAGGTGCAAGCTACCTTAGGGGCTTCCAGAAACCGGCTTGGTAAAGCAGGTCAGCCTTTTTGTTTTATGGCTTTTATTCAGTATCACTCTTGCTTACCAGGGCATCCAGAGAGTGGATTGTTGCTTCTCCTGTATCCTCTTAACTGCCTGGAAGGATGAGCTGAATTGACTCCCAATCTTTCTCTTGCCAGGGTGGTGAAATCCAGGACTGTGCCTACTTGGACAGTGAAAGCAACTACAGCGAGCTGGAGCTTTTTCCTGATGAGGACGTGATGACTCTAGCACAGCAGGAGCTTCACCATGAATCTGACATGGACAGTGCTATTGAGAGTGCCCAGAGCTCGGAGGCCTCCGATGTGTGTCGGAACGAGGAGAAGGATGCTGTGCTCGGTAGCCTCTTTCTGCCTGGTGACAAGTGAGTGATGGTTGTGCCTCATGGCCGCCCTGTTCTGAGGCATGTGCAAAAGGACCAGGGAGGAAGGAGCCTTTATGTGACTAATCCCTACTGTGGTAGGCTGAGGATGCCTGAAGGATTTAGAAACTAAATAACCTTTTACAGTAAGGGAGATGGATGCCCCAGTCCTCTAAGTGGCTTAGACAGTCTCAGCCCTGGGTCCTTCTGGTGTGTTCTGTGAGCACTCATGGGACTTGCATGTTGTGTGGTGAAGTGAAAGTGTTTGGTCTCTCCAGAATGGATCACTCCATTAGCATCCCCCAAAACTTAGGATCTTTTGTGTTCCCATAATCTTCATATGCTGGAATTAAAAGCAACACTCCCTGCAGAGTGGTGCAATGTGAGGAATTCTGCTTTAGTCTCTTGCACATCCAGTTACCTGAAGATGTGGATTCTGCAGATTCGCTTTGCTGCTCCATATACCAAGTTAATGCTGTGTGTTTCTAATTTTTCATAGCTTTTAGTGTGCAACAGTAAATTGTGTTTAACAGAGGGTGTCCTAGCATGTATGTGTGTGACCATAGTTTGCTGTTAACACAAGAGTGTCTCTGTAACCCTAACTTGACTCTTCCCAGGTGTGTTGTACCTTCTGCTGTTGGTAAACTGACTTTGGGGGAGGAAAGGACCCAACTTGACTTACCCCAGCTTTGAACTGAGTTAATGCAGAACCACAGGACAGAGCTCAGCTGGGCTTGCTCTGTAAGCCTCTGCCCTGTCTTCCCTATTTTTGGCTTGTCAGCTTGATTTATGCCTCTTAAGCTTCTCTCATTGTTAATGCAGTTCTTTCTTCTGGGCCTCCTTGGATGCTCTCTGTGCAGCCTCATTCCTGCCTTCCTCCAGAATGTATCAGGATCTGAGATCTGTCCTTTTCCTAGTTGCCCAAGCAATCCCAGAGACTTTATCAGCTCTTTATCAAACTTGTCTCCTTGCCTTGCAGTTCTCACTTCTCCAAAACACCCATCCTTGTTGTGACTGACTTTTACCTATAGTGTGTTTGAAATGAATCTTTCTTCCCAGCTGAGGGGAGAGGTTCCTGTCTGCAGCCTGTTGCTGATGCTGAGCTCATGATCTACACTGAGTGTGGACTGTTTCAACCCAAGCAGTTGAAAGTTTGGTGATGCTTACAAATAACTGCAAATTAAAAGTTCTAAGCAACATCACCAGGTGGGTTCAGCAGCAGTGACTGCAGAGCTGCCAGAAGAGAAACTTAGCCAGGCAATGCATGAGGGATAATGAGGCACTGGGCTCCAGTGTGTTGGCAAGTGGTGATGTTCCAGGGCTATTATGCTGGTGAGTGATTTTTATGGACAAGTATATGTTATCATCCCAGCTGAGGACTGTTCATTTACCTCCATGCCTGGTGGAAGTGTTACAGGGAACTTTTTTCCTCAACTGATTTGCTGTAACAACACTGAGATTCAAGCAGCAGCTGCAGTTACACAGATCAGAGCCATACAAAAGCTTACCACTACACAGTGTGTCTGCGGCACAGCAGCTCTTTATGAATAGATGTTAGTGTGATATGTTGAGCTTCACACTAATCCGCCTTCCAGCCAAGGAGCCTTGTTAGATAAGTTTGATCTATTTTGAGTATTTCTGTCTTCGTGATCTTCATCCTTTAATGGTGTGCCAGGCTTGCCTTGCCCTAATTTCTGTTAATGTGAATTGGATAAATGAATTGCAGGTTATAAATGGATCTCATCAAAACAGGAGAAACAAAAGAGCATCCATCTGAAAGGTTGGCAGGCTTCCTCTTCTACTAATTGCTTTGGAGGGAAAGGATATGCAAATAATGCTTTCACCATCACCAAAGGAACACTGTTGCATCTCTTGTTTACAGCTCACAAGTGTAGTATTACAGGAAGAGCAATTTCACTGTCTCTGAAAGTGCTGGGCATGATTAAGCAGCTTAAGGTAGACTCAGTATTGCTGAGTTCCTGGAGAACATCAACTGGGAGCTACTGCCCCGTGGCTCAGCTAGTAGAGTTGAAGATGCAAGTGCTGTGCACTGAAACAGAGGGAGTGAAAAAGTTAACCCGGTCTGCACAGTGTCATCAGATGAAATCAGGGCCTTGTCAGCACTGGATTCTGCCTGTAGTAGGAGCAGTAATGTGTTGGGCAACTCCAGGGCTTATCAAGTAAAATGTGTGTTTTGGGCCTAAGCTGAGCATTTTCTGTAGGGATAAGTTTGTTGGTAAGAGCTTGTGTGTGAATTTACTGGCTTGTCTGTTTGAATGCCTTACTGAGATGGGAGCTGAGCAAACCTGTTAAACATCTGCCTCTGCAAGATGGTGCACTGCACGTCTGCAGGGTAGTCTGGGCTCTGGGCAGGAGAATCACCATGCACCCTTTGCAGCAAACTTGCTCTGTTGTATTAGATGTGATGTGTTCAGAACTCTGCCAGCAGCTTTCCTATGGTGCCTGCCTCTGCTGATCTATTTATCTAAATGCCCTTTCTCTCTGAGGTCACAGAGTTCCCTAGCTGTTTGGCATTATCTTAGGTGCTTCTCTGGTCAAAAAGCAACCTTTTTTTGTGGTCCATTTCTTTTCTGAAAGACATGTTGTGTCATGATAGAAGGAATGGCAAGAACCCAGCCTCAGTTAGATGCCAGCAGTACTATTGGTGACTCTCTGGCATGTGGCGAGCTAAGTTTGTTTCTGACCACACAGAAGAGAGTGGCTGGAATTCATGTAGTGTGGAAGAGAGCTTATGGGAACTACTAGGAAACTGAATGCGGAAAAGAGTGACAGCCTCTGTCTTGTACATCTTCCTCTCACTATCCCATGCATTTTGGAGTTGTCTGCACAGATCCTGCATCCAGAACAGAAGTCCCATGAGTAGTGATTTTCACCACTACGTAGAAATGATGACTGAAGATTGTTGAGGTGTGCTATGTAAGTGAAGTGGTTTGTGTTGATCCAAACCTTTCTCATAGGTAGCTTGTTCATAGGTTCTCATGCTCTTGTCTTTCAAGGCACCATATCAAATGCACATCAGATGTATTTAGCGCTTCAGGCTTTCAGCACAAAGTGGGTCACAACTTCAGATGAGGACACAAGCTGTAAAGGTGGAAGATTCCATGTGAGGGGAGATGCTATCAAAGTTGGCCCTCTAGACATTTTGGCCTCTTGTTTCAGGTCAAGTCCTCACAACCCTTCTGCTGCATCTGACCTCTCAACTTATTCCACTGCCTCTCTGATCAGTAATGAAGAACAGTTTGAAGACTATGGGGAAGGAGATGATGTGGATTTTACTCCCAGTAGCCCATGCCCTGATGATGAGACCAGAACCAACGCCTACTCTGACCTTGGCTCATCTGTATCTTCCAGGTTGCTCCTTATTCATTAACAAACAATTTTTCCATTTTATTCTTCTCTGGGCATGGGTGAGCATACCAGAGTTTACACTGGTTACACAAACTCACCTGAAAAGCAAAGTGTTATCAGTTCATTTTCTGCCCTGCTGTATTTAATAAGAGCTATAGCAAATATGTTGTTTCTGATAACCTCTGTTGGGTTCTGTTGAAATAACTAGGCTGTTTTTGCATGTAGAAATTTCTCTCTATTGCAGACAGTAGATTTCACAGTTAAGAGCTAGTATTGGAAGTTACCTGCTGCAAGCTGGAAACTAGCTTATTGCTGTGCATCAGCCCTGATACAGTGGAAGAAGACCTGCGAGAGAGCTATTTCTCTTTAGTGTTCTGATACTACAAATCCTTACCACCAACCTATAAGGTCAAGTGCTGTATATGGACAGGAGTTTAGTTGAAAAAAAAGCAGGGAGATGCTCTAGGATTTATCTGCTTGGATTAATAGCACATGAAGATCTTGAGCTTCATTGCTAACACAGGACCAGCTCACTGCATCCCTCTGTTCCGCATGCAACCCCCATGAGCTACCCTCTGTTTCAAGCATCCTGCAATCCAACCTTGCCACCACTGTCATGCATGCAGAGACAGCACCTTTCTCTGCTGCCTCTTCATGATGATGGCTTGTGTCTTTCATCCCCTATTTCCTAGAGGTTTATCAGGTTCCATTCTCATTCCTGGGGCTCTGTGCACTTCATGCCATGATTGCTCTCATTTATTTGAGTTAATTTTCTCTTTATCATAACAAGAGCTACTCTTATTTCCTCTTCAGACCTATGTCCACTTCTCCCTCTCTCCTCATTCCAGGGTTCCTTCTGTCGTACCATCTGAAGGGGTTTGTGTGATGAATTCTTGGCAGACCACTCTGTTTTTCATCTTCCTGTCTTTCTCTTGGAGAAAAAACTCTTCAGGTTGCATGCCAGGTTATAGTGAGAAGATGGGCAAGATGAGAGAGGGACACTGCTAAGGTGGAACATACTAATGTAGCTGCTTTTGCTACATGCTTTACATGGATTCTCTTTATCTTTTGCTATTCTTTCAGTCACCCAAACTGATTCTTTGCAATGACACCCAGAACATGTCTTTTGTAAAGCCTCAGCTCGGAGAGGTAGATTTGCCCTAAGACCGGCATTCTCCATCATCAGCTCTAAGTTAGATGAGCTGTGGGTAGAGGTGATATCTGAAGCCCCTTGCCTGTGATTCTGACATACAGACACAGTCAAGAAGAAAACCTGTTGTGAGTTGGTTACTATAGCTAGTAACATCTCTCCTTTCCTGCAAACAGTGCTGGCCAAACACCCCGAAAAATGAGGCATGTTTATAACAGCGAGTTACTGGATGTTTACTGCTCACAGTGCTGCAAAAAGATAAATCTACTCAACGATTTGGAAGCCAGGCTGAAAAACTTGAAAGCAAACAGGTAAGCAGCCTATTGCACTGCATTTAGCAATGCCCCCTTCAAATGGGACTAGCTAGTAGCAGGAGGAGAGGAAGAAAGGGCCCTCTTCATGCCTGTAGACAATTCTGTCTTGCACATCTTTTGCTTTTACAAATCAGCTAAGAGATTCAGACCTTGACATCTAGCCTGAAGGAAAATGCTGTTTTTCATTAGCTAGTAAGTGTTTTTATGACTTACGGTGCAGACAGCATCAGGAAACTCAAATATTTTAGCCAATGAGCTCTTCGATTGCAGAGGAGAGTGGTATTTCCAGGAATTTTTCCCATTAAATGGAGTCTGCTGTGCTGCCTAGTGCAGGTCTACAGTGAGCTCCTGTTTTCCCCAGGTGGGGAGGAACAATCTGGCAGATGCTTACTACACCTCTCCTAAAGCTATTGGTCAGCAGAGGTACTTCTTTCCTGCGGGATTTTTTTTTTTTTTTCCTCTAGGGAACTTGGAGAAATGATTGATCCTCTGGCAGAAGTTACTTGTGGGGTTCTTTGCAATTTCAGCTTTCTCCTTGCAATTATATCTCTGCCACTCCATCCACTTGTAAACTATACCGAACACTTGGAAAGAATACAGTGCTTCCAACAGTCATCTTAGGGGTTTTGAAGGAAATGATTTGGTGGGCTTCTAGCTCCCCCTAGACACTGAATGTAAATTCTGCCTGTCCTCATAACTCCTGGCACAGTGCACTGTACTGCTGCTTCTCTTGGCTGACACAGCGGCATAGTACTTGATAGGAACAATGTTCCTGCCCTAGCGAGGAGTTTTCTAACGCCCAGCCCCTGACTGGCGTGGGCTTTGGTAATGGTGTGAATGAGGCTGTACATACCTGGCTGAAAGAGAGTGATACTGTGATAGGGAACTGTGTGTCTCTGCACACAGAGGTACAACATCCCCTTATCAAGCGATGCAGCTGGGTATTTGGATTTGGTTCTGGTGTTGCTGTCTGGAGTCTAGTCCTTCATTTAGATAATACTAGTCTCTGACTGCAAAATGGAACTGTAAAAATGGAAAATAACTCAGTTCCTGTGCTGAGCTGCAAAGCGTTATGGGGAAGGATAAACTAACTGTTTATAAAATCATCTAGAACTGGGGATCCAGAATAAATGTCCATCACTAACTCAGTGTCCTTTTGTGATGTTCCTAATGTTAGTTTCTGATTTACATTGACAAATATCTACTAAATATAACAGTATTTACAAATTGACTTATTAATAATCACAGTAATTCATGGCTCCATTCATCCTCACATTGTTGGTGACTGCAGCTTTTGATGAAGTTGCCCAAGAATATTGTTCACAGATTCTTTTTTGTTTTACTTCACTAAAAAAGTCAATATTATGTTTCATTGTGCAATTCACATGGAGTTTAAGTTAAGATTGAATTCAACACTGATCAAATAAATGTTTAATACGTATATCATTCTTTCTGTATCCATGTAGCCCTAACAGGAAAATATCAAGCACAGCTTTTGGAAGGTAAGAGTCTTCAACTTTCTCATGAATACATGTGGAATCAGCTGTAACAATTCCATATGTGGGGGTGGGAGGAGAGAGAAGGAATAATTTAGGAAAACAGAAATGTGCCAAGACAAGTTTTCAAGGGAAGGGGCCTGTGTTTGGATAGGGATGTTACAGAATCTAGAAGCCACTGCTAGTCTTGGAGCAGGCCCATGAACTCGAAAGAGCTCTGTTAAGAGCGTAGTTAGTTGCTTCCTTGTCTGCCAATTCTCCTCCTTTATACTGCTGTTGCAGCAGTGCAGCTGTTGCTGCTTTCACCCTTATGCAATGAGGATTTGTGGTTGTTGCTGAAATGCAAAGGAAAGCAGGAGCATCCCTTTAAAAAGGTTCTACGGAATTGTGATCTTCTTTTGGCTGAATGAACCAGCCCTGGGCTGGGGAAGGCTGTAAGCTTCAAGAATATTTTAGGTAATCTCCAGTGCTCTCTATTCTGTAGTGGGAACTGCTTGAGATTCTCTTCTTCTGCTTCTTATGAAAGTTCTTACAGTATGAAATGTTCTAGATTAACTGTACCAACCAGTGCACGATGGTGACCTTAGCCTTAATTTCTAATAAGGCAAATACAACTCAATACACAGTGTAAATAAGGCGATTTTTAGCCTATGTTAATAATGGTGGCAGATGCTGTCAAAAGCAACAAAGAACTCTCACTCAAGAACCAGTGCCATTGATTGTGGTCACTGTGACTTCATTTAACTGCCTGTTTCTTGTAGGACTTGTGCTTAAACAGTTGGAATTGTCATTGAAATGATTGCACTGATTTTAGCATCAGATGTTCAGAGTGCAAAGCCAGGCTATAGGGCAGTACCCAGACTCTCTCCTCCATCCTTACCAAGCAAAATAATTATCCTTCTGGTCTTTCAGACAGCTCTTCCACCACAGTAACTTCAGCAGCAGTAATGGCAGCACAGAAGACCTGTTCAGAGACAGTATAGACTCCTGTGATAATGATATCACTGAAAAGGTGAGAAGCTGAGTACATTGCAGTTAATGTACCCAACAAAATCCTGCTGGAGGCATGCATCAAACTGGCAAAGTTCTCAAGTTCTCTTGCTCACAGTTACCAGTGATCTGAAGCAGCTTATTCAAAATGTCCTTTCTATTCCATTAATACTATGATTTTGCTTCGCAAAAATGCAAGAACTGTATGAGTGCAGATCTAGGCATTGTGTTAGTACTTCTTTACTGTGTCTTTGCATTGATCACCTTCAAGGAAGATGCAGGGTCTGGGAATCCCAGAATTTCAGAGCTTAATTTTGCTGCTGGCTTTGCAGGCAGGTATGCTCCCTTTAAAAAGGTAGCATAGCTAAATGCCACTTAGGAACAGTGAAGGTATGTACAAAGAGAGGTTCAAACTCTCACTACTTTTCCACTTCCCCTTCCAGGTAACGTACCTAGAAAAAAAGGTGACAGAACTGGAGAATGACAGCCTGACAAATGGTGATCTGAAGAGCAAACTGAAACAAGAGAACACCCAGCTAGTTCACAGGTAATAAAGCACAGAGCCAGTTCTCTTACATCAGAGCAAAGCTGGAATAGAGTTGTAGGGAAGGAAAATGTCTACCCATAAAATATGACCAAGTCGTCTGCCTTAATGCTAACAGGTAAGGCTTCAACTGAGAAGTCCAGCTGGAACAGGGCTGCCTTGCTGAATTTTCAGCAAGCAGAGGCCTTCCAAGCAAGTTTCTTAGTACAGAGATGTTACTGACTTGTATAGAGCAAGCTCCTTTGTTGTGACAGAGGTTACCATTGTTCTTGCATGTAGCAAGAGCAAAAGGCTGGGTCGTAGTCCCATATTCTCAAGACTGAGAATGAAAGAGTAATAGATGAACTGATACTACCTCTCCTATGAAGCCAGGCTGAGAGAGTTGCGGTTGTTAGCTGGGAGAAGAGAAGGCTTCAGGGAAACCTTAGAGCAGCTTCCAGTGCCCAAAGTAAAATTAAATAAAGGAATCGGAAAAAAAACGAGAGGCAGTGAAGTTGCACACTGTTGGGTTTTTTAAAGTACTTGTTGAAGCTGTTACTGAAATGTGCTCTGGTTTCCTTAGAGTTCATGAGCTAGAAGAACTATTGAAAGACCAAGAAACATCAGCAGAACAGACCCTGGAAGAAGAGATAAAGAGACATAGAGAAGCATATATCAAGTACGAGAAAGAGAAAGGCACTGAAATTGAACTGCTGAATACAAGGTAACAAACATCCTGGTGCCACCCAGAACACAGGGCAGGTTCTTTTTATTCATTTCTTAATTTGCATGTAAACATAGGCTGTTCACAACCAGACAGTGCACAGAGGATGCTTCACATTAATGCTTTAATCCACATGGCCCATGTAGGCAGCTTAGATGGATATTTGGCATGGGTTCAAGGAGGGAGTTGTGACCAGCTGTAGCATACACTTGTGTCTGCATTTGTTTCTTCCTACTTAATTCTTTTTTGATGCTTGTTAGGAGCATAAGAATCTGAGGGGCAGTGTAGCATTTTTGGCCCCAAAACCAAACAAATGGTGCTCAATAGCTCATGCTAAAAAACTGTAATATTAGAAGTATTGTTTGATCTTTCTATCAAATGGCTTTTTAGAACATGCTATTTTGCATGTCTGCATTCTTGAGGTACTTGCTGTAAGATTTTTGTTATTGACACAGGGTTCAACAACTGGAAGAAGAAAATGGTGAGCTGAAATGCACTGTCACACGACTGAAATCACAAACGGAGAGATTAGATGAGGTAACAAAACCCAAGTGCTTGAGCAGCTTGATTTGTGTAAGAGCAAATTTCTCATAGTGGTTGGCCCAGCTTCTTTAGTTTTACTACCCTAAAAAAGGCTACTAATGTAATTGGAACATTGGTCACCTTTAGTGTCAGGAATGCCCTGAGACACATGCCAGCTTATGGCCAGCTGTGTCTAGAGTTGTGTGGTAAAACTGAAAACGGTTCGTGCACTTGCAAACTAGCTGTGAAGTTGCCCTTTTGTTCTAGGAAAGGCAGCGTATGTCAGATAGGTTGGAAGACACTAGTCTGCGACTGAAGGATGAGATGGATTTGTACAAGAGGATGATGGACAAGCTGCGGCAGAACAGGCTGGAGTTTAACAAGGAGAGGGAAGCCACGCAGGAGGTAGGTGTGAAGAGGGATGTAAGACCAGGCAACCACATCTCTTCTGCATAGAAGCCCATCTGAGCAAAGAATTAACAGACAGAATGAACAGTGAAAGTACAGCATCCAGTGAATGTATTACTGGGTTGTGTTTCTGTGGGAGGGGTACCCATAAGGTGATGAATGTTGCAAGAATAAATGTAACCACTTTGGGTCAGGGATTGCCAACTTTCTGAGAACTTGAAGCCTTGAATGTGTGCCCTAAGATTTCCTTTATTATGTTTGCAAGGGGAATTATGCCTCTCAGACATGAAGCTTAGAGATCAGAGACACTTCTAGCTCTGAAGAGGTTTAAGTGACCTTGCTCTTCCATAGAAGAGCAAGTGGCTCTATTGTAGGGCTGTCTGACCTCAGCCAGGTTCACAGAGTGCTGGTGTTGGAGTACAGAGGTGCAGCACAGAGCTGGCTGCTTATGGGGAGGGCTGGTTGTGAAGGGACTGGAGAGACATGATCTGCTTGCATGCCCACAGCTCATTGAAGACCTGCGGAAGGAACTGGAGCACTTGCAGCTGTACAAGCTGGAATGTGAGCGTCCTGGACGTGGGAGAAGCTCTTCATCCAGTGTGAGTGAATTCAATGCCAAAACCAGAGAGGTGGAAATGGAGCATGAAATAAAAAGGCTGAAGCAGGTGAGCAGGGATGGGCCTCTTGATCCATGTGAAATACACAGGACTGCTTTGACAAATGCCTATAGCTGCCACTCATAGCATACTGCCTTTAGATATTGTGTCCCCTTTCTCACACAAGCACAAGAACCATGTTGCATCTGTCTAGGATGACTTTAAACAGGCAGTGTAAATTGTGCACATAGGAAATGCCTGTGATGCTGTCAGGGTAGCCTTGTCTGGTGACAAGAGTGTTGCTGCTAGCATGCAGCCTTACCTTGTGTCATCCAAGCTACCTGTGATTCAAAGATTTATTGTTCAATGAAGCCTTATGAGAAGAACTTAAATCAGTGTCTTTTTATCCTTAAATAGGAGAATCAGAAACTTCGTGACCAAAATGATGATCTCAATGGACAGATCCTAAGTCTTAGTCTTTATGAAGCTAAAAATCTCTTTGCAACACAAACAAAAGCCCAGTCACTGGCTGCTGAAATTGATTCTGCATCAAGAGATGAGGTAATGTGCTTTTTTAATCAAGTACTACATCCAAAAATATGCCAGTTTCAATGTAATTAGCTGTCAAGGTTAAACTATTTGAAGCTGACAAATGAACAGCAGAAAAAATCTGCTTTGCTAGGAGTTCAGGAGTGTTATAAGATTGCCTTGAATCTAACAGAGGCTTTGGATGCTCTTTTAATATAACCCTTCCATTTGTCTCTCACAATACTGGAATTATTAGAATCTCAGTGAAAAGTTTTACAATGGATTTTAACAATTTTAACATCTGCTACCTTACAGGGTATTGTGATATTATGACATTAAATTCACACAAATTACTGTAGTTACTTAAATTTTTACTTTCTCTTCTAGATTCAGTTCTCAGTTCAGTAACAAGCTCTCACTTAGATCTATGTTTGAGCTATATATTTTCTGTAGCAGAGCTGAATTATTGAAGAAAGTAGGTAGCATGCAAGGACAGATTGTGAGATCAGGCCAGTGAGTATGTAAGAGCTCCCAGGGAAAAATACAGGTTAGTGATGAAGTTGATTTTAAAAGGAATTGTTTGCTTTTTAGGCTTCAGTTGTTCTGGACGGAACTTCCCATTTCTTCTTCAAGAGGTGTCCTGTGACAGACTTTTTTTACCTAATCTGTATTTGAATGACCCTGTTAGCCTTAGCTCCTGGGCAGTGCCTTGAAGTGAAGAACATACTTGAGTTTCTTGCTGAACCAAAGCTCTGTGAAGGCTGTTTAATTGTTGAACTCTAATGATTTTATTTTTTCTTGACAATAGCAGAAGTCCAATTTGCTTTTACCTAATTATTCCTCATTGTTTATCTCATGCCTCTGGCTCATGCAAAGAATATCCAGCACTACCCCTCTAAAGGAGGAAAGTGCCAACTATGGCCCAGGCTTCCTAAATCTTACATAAACTTTATTCGTTGTGCCATTTTTTTTCCTCTATAATCAAATGAAGGTAAGGAACTGCAGACTCAGGGTGGGACTTTTAACAAGGCTAATGAAAATGGATGCACAAATCACATTAGGGGGGATCTAGGGCTCTACTCCTCCTGGACAGCTTTGTCAGTTTGGCATTGAACATGCAGAGTATAAAAAGCCAGCAGTCTTCGTCTTTGGAGAGTTTGAGGGGCCAGTAGAGTATCGTGAAGCTCTTGCATTCTGAGATGGAGAGGTTCACCCATGGTGTGGATGCAGGATGGATTGGTGTTTTAAATAAGGTATTTGTGTCAAAAAACCTGCCAAAAGATCCCTGGTGATGACTGTTCACCGCCTTTCTTAATAGTAAAGATCTTTAACATCCAGATTGTTTCTCATACAGAAACAGGGAGAGCTAGAGGTAGAATACCTATCACAAAAGGTGACATTGAGTCAGTACTAGTCTCTCACCTGCCTGAACTTCATGCTATTATGTAAACTAGTGAAACTATTTCAAAAGTAACTTTGAAATGTTGTGTTTCAGCTCATGGAAGCCCTTAAAGAACAGGAAGAAATCAATTACAGATTACGACAGTATATGGACAAGATAATTTTGGCAATCCTAGACCATAATCCCTCTATCTTGGAGATAAAGAATTGAAGAGAATGAGAGAAGGAAAAGCAGCAACTGCCTGATATTTCTGCACATGCCACTGGATCTAAACAACACTCTGATACTGTAAATTAATCTATAAATATATATATACACTATGTGTGAGTGTGGGTGCGCGGGTGTGTTTATATGATGTTTGGTACACTGTTATTTGTCATTGAATTGGCTTGGTTAGACTTTTTCCATGCACTTTCAATACCTGTGGTAAGATGGATACTGTATATTAATGTAATAACAATATAACTGGATCATGCTGTTTTAGATTCTGGACAAAATTACTCTACCTCTAGTTGTAAAGGTAAAAAAGACAATGGAAACACATGGATGTGTCCCTGACTTTAGGAGCAAGAATTGTTCTTTTGTTCTTCCAGGAATTTGGGTACCACAAACCAACTAACACACCCAGGTTCAGTTCCTGACTGGTGCTGACTATTTCCTATTTGATTTAGTTTTAGTACTTAAACCACACATAGGACACACTTTGAGGAAAAGGAAGGACTCAAAGTACAAGGGAAGATGAGGAAAATATTGCAGAATTGTTGCTTTTTGTGAAAAAAATCACCATCCACTTGTTTGCCACTGTCAGCACAAAGTGCTTTTTATGTAAGTTCACTCTGGAGCCTGCTTTGGGATGCTCTGAGCCAGCCTGCTCTTCAGTGTGTGTGAGCATGTGTATTTTTATGCCAGGGTCCCTGTGTAGCATTGAGGCAAAGAAGCTCTTCAAATCTGTTCCCCTATTTTCAGGGGTTTATCATGGGCCATTAAGATGAATTCCGGGATCCTGCCCCTTCACCCTTAAGAGGGAGCACGTTCTAGTTCTTACCAAAAGAAAAAAAAAAATTGCATGAAATAGCTCACATCGGGGGAGGAGGCGCAGCCCTTGACATTATCGGTTGAGTTGCTTTCCCACCCCAGCTACACCTCACTCCTTTGAGACTGACATTTTGTGGGCAAGCTGTGAAGAGGACTGGCTGGGTCCTAGCACAGTGGTGGAGGGAAGTCAAACATGGAGTGACTTTTATCATTAGGGCAGTAAAAAGGAAAAGAGCTTGGTGTTGCAGCAGTTGCCAATCCAGGCTGGGTACACACATGCATATTTAAAGCTCTGAATAGGGAATACATCCTGATTTAAATGAGCAGTGGGGCAGGTGCTTAACTTTAAATGTGTACTATGGCTGCTCATAGAGGTCAGTTGGACAGAACACTAAATCTTTAAAGTTGAGTGTATGCTTAAATGCTGCCTTAAATAGGGTGGACTTCAGCATGTGCCTGTGTTCTCCTGAGCTGGATCTGTGTACTGTAGGGCTAGGACCTTTTTAATGAATAATGTAGCTTATGGAAGGAGCTAATGGAATTGTTTGGATAAATTGAAGGCTAAAAAGAAAATTATACCATGCACTTTTTTAAAGTAAAAATACCATATTTTTGATTTACACCGACTGGCGCAGAAAAACAGGCCCAAATATCTGGCTTTCCCCAGTGCATAGAGATGTTTCGTCTATTGAATACACTCCCCAGAAGAATGTTACAGTAGCAATGACTGTGCTTTTCTGTGTATTTCTTGCTGTTGGCAGTGTCTTGCCCCTAGTATTCTCTTGATGTATCTTGGTGTGTATATGTGATGCATTTTTCCTGAATTTGAATACATAAGACTGTATTCAGTTATGGATGTAAATATATATATTTTTCTGCAATCTCTGTGCTCTTGCCTTCAGTGATGTGTTACTGGAGTGATGGGAAGCGGGGGAAGTACTGAAATCAGGCTTTCTTGAAGGCAAGACAATAAAACCAACTTGTTTCTATGTACCTGCATCAGGCAGGTGTAAAGTAACTGGAAAGTGAAAGGGACCAGAGGAATAACCATGGGACAACACCGCAGTGCACAAAGTGTGTAAGACTTCAGTGCTCTGGAAGAAATGGTGCCGTCTTGTTTAAACAGTAATGTCTTAGGGCTGGTTTCCTGAGGCTATGGGGTGAGGAAGGGATTTAAAGACTACTCCTTTGCTGCCTGGAGATGGTGTAAAATGACCTCCGATGTGCAACATGGCAAAAGGTTCTGTCATTGACAACACACGCATGCGCCCTTCCCAGAAGGCAGGAGAGGAACATTTAAGCCAGAACTCTTCACTTTCACTTTAGTGATGGCATTTCCCTCTAACTGAAGCCGTCTGTGGGTTGTGCCAAGGACTTTGCTCTTTTTATAGTCCGCAGAGAACAATTTCAAGTTGTCAGGTGGCTGTTGCTAACCTGCGGTGATGAGCAGGGCTGGGTGAACTAGCATGCCTGCTACCGGAGCTGACTGTGTTTGGTAAGTTACGCTTCTGTCCTGCTCTCATGCAGTGGATTTAAGTATGAATGAAGCTGTTGCAGGTCAGAATGGTGACTGAATGTTTCCCCCTAAGTATTTTTAGAGTAAACTGGACTTAGCTTCAAAATTGTAATAATCTAAAACCCATTCCCATTAGGGTAGAACATCAGCAAATGTTGAGGACTATTTCACTGAAAGTGGTGCTGAGCACTTGGGGAGCAGAGAGCCTGGCTTACTTCACTGAGACACAGACCCATGGACATGAACAGAAGAAGACATGACTGTAGTGATAGCCAACGTATTTGCAGGTAATTGTATGTAAGAGGTGAATAGCCACTAATAGAGACAATAGTCTCTTAAGTCTGGCTGAAATCCTGAAAGTGGTATTTAGCCAAGGGTACTCAGCAGTGGGTTTTCTAAAGGCTCACAAGACTTCTTGTGCAGCTCTGTACCCACCTGCTTTAGCATTTAGAAGCTTTTACTCCAGTGTTTGCGTTTGAAGAGTTGTCTTACCACCATGTTGGTGGTGTTTGTAGCTTTGTTTTATTGCATAAAAGTTATGCTTTTGCTCCTGTGGGGCCCTCAGTGTGCTACTGCTTTCTGTTATGTTCAAATACATATCCAGATGCTTGATATGTTTGACAACTAATGTGATTTGGAGGTGGGAGAGGTGTTTCACTGACAGATACACTTTCCTCTAAGACATCCACCTCTAAAAATGCCAATTAGCAATTGCATTCTTAGACTGAGTAGCTACAGTAACTACGCATACTAGACCAACTTATTTTGCAGCCCAAGCCTTGGAGAACCCTTCTATCCCAGAAAAGAAGTCATCATGTTTTATGACATGCAGGTAACTTGATAATAAGGGGTATCTTGATGGGTTATGGGAGTAGAGAGTAATCAGATACTGATGTTGCATATTTTGGTTAAGTGTCAGACAGCCACATTGGCAGAACAGACAGGAGATGCGGGAGATGGTGAAGCACTGGTTTCAGTGTCGGTTCTTTGACAAATTCCTTATTGTGAGTTTTCTTTGTGCCCACAGCCCAGCTGGGGAAGTACAGCCTGCCTGTGTGTCAGTGTCACTGTGGGTGGAACAATGGCTTCACCTCCCTGGGTAAATAACTTCAGATACAGAAACGTGGTATCATCTCATTCTAGCACTGCTCAAGTGCAGTAAACGTTCTTGTGTCAGATCTGTGCTTCTCACTTAACCCTTGGGGATGCAAACACAATCCAAGGTGCTTGGATCTTGATCTGTTTCTCTAGTTCATTCTGGTATAGATTCAGAAAAGCTAAGTGATATTCTGGTCAAACCAGTTGCAAACCACTGCAGGTATTTTTGTACAGTGAAAAAAATGACTGCTTCTCACCAGCAGCTGTCCTTTCTTAAGCTGATCCCACACACATCAAGCTACTGCAGAAAAAAACCTGTTTCAAAACTTGCACCTAGGAGTGCATGAAATGTGGTCTCTCAAGATTTTACTCATACTGGCTGCTTCCCTCCAGACATCACTCTTAGGCTGCTGCCTAGTTCTGGTTTTGGAGTGTGATACTGAGCTAAAATTACCTTGACATAAAAGAGTATTTTTCAGTTTTCTGAATAACTTCTATTAAAGACGCAAGCTGTTTGAGAATTTGTCATGTTTTGAAGTGCAGCAGTGACAAACTGTAACCATCCCATTTATTTTTAAGGAGTTTTTAGTATGCTAATTTGTAGCAAGTCTCAAAAAGGAAAAAAACTCCAGTACACTTTTGCTGCCAACTTTCCTTTTATGGTCTTGGGAGAAATTCAGATGTTTCTCAGCCAGCTCTGGGGGGAGTTGAACACAGCGTTATTAATTCTCAAAGATGCATGGATCAAATACTTTGCTGCCTGAATGCAGCAATGCCCAGTTCACTTCAGCAGAACTGCATTACTCTCCAGACAGGATCTTGGCCTGCAGTATGTGGGCTGCCTGGTCTGGTTAGTAATTGAGGTCTTGGAAGCTAATACATAAGCACACACCGTGGCTGGCTCCATCGGTCACTGCTCAGCAGTCTCTGCATCCTAGTGCTAATGATGAATCTGAGAAGTAGGATTTACAAATAAATGAATACTTTTTTCCCCTTCTTTAATGGTAGTGAATATAAAGTGGTTTTCTCTTCAAACAAATACTGCACGGTGTGGTCGGAGGGATGTTTTCCAAGGAAGGAAGGAAGTAGCAGCTGATCAAACACTTGCCACATCAGTGGCTTGGCTTATATCGATTCAAGTGAAAACTTGGCTCAAACTTTGAGCAGTTCCTGGATTGGTTCTAGTGTAAGTAGCAGTGCTCATATTCCAGTTATTTCATTTGTTACTCAAGAAACATTGTCAAGAAGGCATGACAGGTGATGTAACACAGCTGATTTTAAAGGGTATAGTTCAATAGCTGCTGGCATCTTGCTCTTTTGCAGCATCCTTGGGGTGGTTTTCTCAGTATTTTTCAGTTCAAAGTATTGTTGTAGAAACATCTGCAACTCAGGTCACTGTACCATCATTTGCCACAGTGTGGAGCCAGCTGATAGGGCTACATTGTGTTCTGAAAACTTGTCCGTGCTTACTGAAAGTTTTGTTCAGCTGTGAAAGTAATGCCTATTCAAACATATAATTGTGAAGAGATTACTTAAACTTTAAACCTGATGAAAATGTATATTAACAAACATGGATTTCTATAGTATAGTTTGGAACCTACTCCAAGAATCTGTTTTTAGTGGTGGAAGTATGACATCTGAGCTGTCAGCTCTCATATCACTCAGCAGAGCCGCATGCACCCTGGCAAAGGGTGCAGAGGTGATAGTTCTGGCAGACACACAGTCAATACATAGACAATGACTGAAGCAGGAGGGCTGTGGTTACTCTTCTACCCAGTAACTTGGAGCAGTGATGATCTTGCAGTGCTCAGCATCAGCCCTGTTTTGTTTAATACTTTATCCACAGCTAAATTATTCTGGCTTTGGAGAAAGGAAGTCAGAAGGGGAACTAAGAATTTCATATCATGTGAACACTGTAATAAACTACAGGGCACCAATTGTTGCACTGAGGGTATGTTTAAATACTGAGATATTTTGGGAATTACTGTAATAGCGGTTGTGGGAGTCATTTGGTTTGCTTTGGTGCACAGACTGTACTGACATTTTTTGCATGGTTACATATTTTAGTACTTGTGCCTTTTATTTCTCTGTTGTGAAGATGCATTTTCACATTTTATTTCCTGTTTTGGGCACTTTTGATATACACTTTTTAATTTGATCTTCATCTCTGGTTTCCATGTAATGTACATGTGTATATATAAAATAGATCAGATTTGTATTCATGTGCCTCTGAGATGTAAAAACAACCCATTTTGTACAGGTTTTTTAGAAGCACTAGGTCATGGTCGAGATTATGTAGCAGATGAAATTCAATGTAATTAGCAGTTCTCTGTCTTTGAGAAATGTTGTGTCAGATGGCTGGTCTCTTTTGTAAGGCAGTGTCTCACACACACTCCCCAGATTTATTGTTGTAATATCATTATGAGATCCATTCTATCCACTTACTGGTTTTAGTTAATTCAAAATAATAAAACGCCTAAATCAATGTTATGGTCCTGACTTGGCAGTTATATTTTTTTTATTCACACTAAAGCAAATTTGTTTGGTTTTATACTTGAATGGACATCAAACCAAAACCTCATTTGAACACATCGCCCATTTCAGGTTAACTTCAGTCTGGGATTATTTTTGTGGGAATGGACAAGTGATTTACTTTGCCTATTGAAATGGAATGAGAAATAGCATTACCAGTTTATTGACTCTCTTTCTTAGAGAGGGCAAATGCTTTAGATTATTTCTCCTGTTCCGTCCATGGCTTCTGTGGCAGCTTTTTGTAAGGCCAGACCCTGGATCTGCATGACTGGAGATCTTCCTCTTGCAGATGTGAGAAATTCAGTGTGTCACTTTCCACATTTTTGCCCCTGGGGAATAAACATGCATTGGGGTTTCTAGCCCAGCACTCTCCTGATGCATTTGGGAAGCTAAATAGACGGTTGTGAGACTGGACCATCCTAGAAGTGTCCTTCCCTCCCATCAAGCTGCTCTTGAGCTGCTGCTTTCATTTCTTGAGTGTTGACCCCCTCATCTGGTGAGATGCTTGAATTGTTCCCTCTCCCACATCTTGTGGTTTATCAGTACCCACTCACCAGCCCCAGGGCACAAAGAGGTAATAAATTGTGGTAAGTCACAGGAAAGAAATCATCAGTATCCCCTAAATGTCCCAAAACACGGAGTTTTGAACTATAAAATATTATGTTCCATTCTGGTGGAGCAGAAATTTTTAACTGAGCTTGGCACCTGCTTGACGTTATAGAGCTGCCTCAGAAGCGCGGAGGTGGGTTTAGTGTTGACTTCTGAGGCTGAAGGCAGCGGCGCTCCCCTGCCCCGCTGTGCTGGGGAGAGGCCTGAGGGGGAGCTCTGCCATGGCCGGGCCCAGCTGCGGCTCCCAGGTGTGCCCGGAAGGGGCCGGGGGGCGGTGGGAAGCCTCGGGCAGCGGCTGGGAGCTGCGGTTACAGCGCCGGGGAGCGGGGACACAAGGAGAGCCTCGCGCTTCGAGTCCCCACCGCGGCAGGACGGCGGGGGACACAGCACACCGCCTCGGCCGGCGCTCTGAGGTACGTCTTGTTTACTCGCCTCCTGTTTGAGGTGCCAGGCCCGCTGCCACCTTCTCCGGGGGGTGCTTTAACTGCTACAGTGAAAAATGACCGACGAAGTGAGCGGCCGTTTTGGTTCAAGGCTGCTTGCTGTAAGGGAGTGAGGGGAGGGCGCCATGGGCACCTCAGGGGTGTCTGTGGGCACCGCTCCTGAAAAGAGGAGCCCTTTGTTTTGGGGAAGGGCAGCCGCGGTCCGACCACAGAGGTGCTGGGTGCTGCTTACAGGGGAAAACGGGGCCTTTGTGAGGGAACAGCGTGGTTCCTGGGGTGAAGCAGCTCTGCCTGGCCCCGTGTTGGAGGGAAACCATTAGAGTGCGCCTGGAAATACCACCCCGACATGGCCGCGGGGTTGTGCTGCCACAGGTGGGTTTAATGGAGCTGAAGTCTGCTTTCTGAAGAGCCGCTGCTCCCGCACCCAGCCTGCTCCAGCAGGTGCTGCTTGTGTCCTTGATGAGTGAAAATGTGACCGGTTTGCACCTGTGTGAATGATGATGAAGGGTGTAAAGCCAGAGAACCTGGCCTGTGGTGTGTTATTTAGTACCTGAGGTGGAGTCTAAGGTGGTAAGCTCTGCCTGCAGCTGGGCACGAAGCAGGGGAAAGGGGATTTTGAAGAGACTTCAGTGTTGAGTTCAGGCTTTGCAGGACAAACGTTTTCCTTTAAAAAGCATTGTGATGATCTTGAAGTGATTATAGTGTGCAGACTGCTTTGGTTTGGCTGTCAGTAGTTTCTGAACTGGAATACATCTTTTACAGTATCATCCCATGTGGTTGCTGGGCAGCTTTTCTCCCCGGTAGCTACAGGTGTTTGGGGAATCAGAGCAAAGTGTATGAATAATCCATGGAGCAGCCTACCTGTGTGTTACTTTCCCAGGCTTCCCCATTCCCATGTTCCTCATGGCAACGAGGTTCTGGTTAGTCAGATTTATATCCGCAGGCACAAAGGCCTGCAGTGTGTGCTAAACCACTTCGCCAGAGAGGCAAGGAGCAGTGTTGTTCCCAAATCTCAGGCTAACCCCTGTCAGCCCAGGCTAACGTGCTGTACTACTGACCTACTTCCACATCAGTTACTCACTGGTATGCAAGGAAGATACACTGGGAAAGTAAATCAGCTGTTACGCTGGGGATAGTGTACATCAACAGTTGTGCACAATATATGCTGTTCTTACTGTGCTGGGGAGAGCTTTGGGTCACTTTGCAACCAGGAATTAAAGCTCGGAGCTGCCTGGGAGGTGATTGTTATCATGCTCATATCTTTTGGAGGGAAGGAGGGTTTGAAGCTGGGCAGAGGTTAAATGAGGCAGTAGCAGAGTAGGAAATAGATTGCAGGAGCTTTGACTCCTGAAAACTTGGACGGTGGCAAGGCAAGCCACTACAGAGAGGAAACACATCTCGTGTGAGCACTGAGTGAGTGCAGTGGCCAACTCCTATAGTTGGCAGCAGGCTGTGGTCTCGTGTTGTCTTGCCAGACACGTTTTGTTCACATAGCAGTCTCAAAGCTGTGACTTTGATGCTTTCCCTTGTTCTGTCTGCTGTTCTTGATGGCCCATGTTTCAATGTTTTCCCAAATCGCTGATGGCAGATGGGGGTCTGGAATGTGTCACTTCACTCTAAATGTCTTTTGACACATGTAGTGTGGCAGGGACTCTCCTAGTTTGCATAACTCAGGGTTAGTTCTGTCCTTGGAGCCAGCTGCTTTTTGGATGCAAAAGAGGGGTTAGAACATATGATGAGTAAATTGAAGATTGTCCCAGATGTATAACTGCTTGGTGATTTTAATACAATTTTGCAGTGATAATTTGTCTTTTGGCATAGGGCTTCAATCCTTATTCCCTCACGCCACAATCTTTGTGCCTTCGATTGCTGACAGACAAGGTAGTTAATAGTTTGATGCACTAGCATGTAACGTAAAGCTTGCAACTCCTAGAGCAGGCTTTCTGAAAAGAAAGAAAAGCTGGGCTGTGGCACCAAGTGAGGTAGATGGAACTTTACTGTTGAAAGGCTGTGCTCAGGCCGTATGGTGTAAGACTTGTACTGTAACACGAGCAAATTGCAGGTGTTTCCTCACAGTTTCTCTTGGCCACTGTGTGGCTTTCCTTGATGTGCTCGGGGTTTTATTTAAAACCTGAATGGTCACCAGGCAGGACTGCTCCTGGCCCTCAGTAATCCTTCCGTCTGCATGACGGAGAAATCGCCCCCAACCTTCAGCCTTTGGGATCGATCCGAGCTCTGTGCAAAGCAGAACTGAGTGGGGTGCCCTGCAGAAAAGCAGCAGCTGAGGAGTTTCCCTTCATTCGTGGAAACGCTGTGTAATACTGTGGGGGTTGAAGGTGCAGCCCCGAAGCGGGGCGGTGTGTGCAGCGGAGCTTTCCCCCAGCAGAGGACGGCCGGGCTCTTTGCATCGCTGCTGCCGGAGCAGGGAGGAGGAGGAGCGCGTCGGGGCTGCCTGTGCGGGGGGGAACGCTTCAGCACTGGCCACCTGAACCGCAAAGCCCGGGGCCGCCGAGGCTGCGGGACGTGGCTGAAAATCAGCCTCGAGTCCCGCAACCCCACCAGCTCCTGCGGCCCGGCTCCGGCTGCCCTGGGATGCTGTGGTATCAAACCCGAACCTCGGCATCATAGGCCGGCCTGGAAACACTGGGCACAATGTATTGACACCTAAAAGTGTGATTTACTCTTGGGAAAGCAGTCCTTTCTCTTTGGAATGAGCCGTTCAGCCCCGACTTGTGTTACTGATTTATGAAAGGAGCACGTTGCAAGTGCAGTACGTGTTCTTGTAGTAGTGGTTGTGTGACTCAGATCTGATCAGACAGGTGGTGGTGCAGGTTACAGATTTCTAGGTATAAAGTAAAAATAGGGTTTGTATTATGTCAAATTGGTAGCGGGTTCTAACTGTGCCTGGATTTTCTTATTTTCTTTTTGTTTGGTTTGTGGTTTTTTGCTTACAAAGCCCAAAAATACTGAATCACTTTCTTCCACCCAGTCATGTTTGAAAACTAGACACCAGAAGGAAACATTTCAGTGCAAAGCTAAATAATGGTTCAGAACCACAGCCTCCTGCCCTACAGCCACTGGTGATAAAAACGAGAGCTGATTCATTTCTTGGATTTTAACCAAGCATTAGCCATAAGACTAAATATTTGGTAGCTGGAAACCCAAAGGAGGAAATATTAATAATGTAGTATTGTATTTATGATTTATGCTATTATGATTTTACTATGTAAACAGAAGATAATGGGATTGAAGTAAAATGTGAGAACAGTCTGAATATCAGGAAACGCTTCCTGACACAAACCCACGTTAGACTGCCTGATACCGTCCCAAGGGAAGGGGTGGAAACGCTGTTGCTGGGCTCCCGGAGCGCGGGGGGCCACCAGCCTGGGCCCGTGTGCAGCGTGAGCGGGGCTGGCTCCCACTGCTCCTGCTTTGCGGGAAGCGTTCCCCCGTCCCGAACCCGGGAGCTGCGGCCAGCGCGCTCCCTCTTAGCAGGTGCCCGACGCGGGAGAGCAACAGGGCTCTGTGAGCTCGGCGCTTGGCCGTTTCCATCCAGAAGAGCTGCCGTTTCCCCAGGAGACTCCGTGAGCGTGGCGATGCGCACATTTGCTGTCAGGGGAAACATCGGGAGGTGTCAGCCGGGAGGAAGAAGTACAAATGTTCGCCGGTAATTTCGTGGTCTTTGAGCACCGGTGCGGCCCTCGCTGCTGGTGGCCACCGGGGAGGGTGGCTGGAGCAGGAGAGGCGTCCTGAGGCATCTCCTGCAGGGGCCGCTGGCAGCCGAGCTCCGCAGGCGGGGCTCCCCTTCCGCCGCCCGGGGCGGTTCCTCGGGGCGGTCACGCCCGTTCCAGGTGCCCCGCCCCGCGCCTGCAGGAGCCCCGCGCACCGGGCGGGAGGCGCTCGCCA